AAAATAAATTTTAAATAATTTTTCATTAGTATATTGATACATTAAAAAGCAAAGTTAGAAATGAGAAATGTATTTGAAAAGAAGAGGGAAGTATTTACTTCATTTTTATGTTCTTTTCCTTTCCACTCCATAGTTGCCTAACTCACTTACCCTTCCTTAAGTCCTTACCCCAGAGACAGATGCGACTGCCATTGATGACCTGTTAACGCTTTAGTCTAATGGAGACAGCACTGGACTGAAAGTGAAAGACCCAGACTCTAGTTGTAGGTCAGCCATTCCCTTCTCTTTGTCTCTGTTGTCCCATCTGAAAAGAAAGGAGGTTGAGGAGGGTGGGAGGGGAGAGGGTTTTCCCAGGATATTAAATAAATAAGAGACTTTTGTGAAAGTCCTTAGAATTTCATGGAAAAAAGTTCTGGGTGAAACATTTGATTGAAAAATTAACATTTTAAATATTAATTTAAATTAGATTGAGTTTTTTAAGAATGCTAGAAACTGCTTACATTTTGCATTTATTATACTTGTAAGTTAAATTGTTACCATTAGATCAATATATTCATTTGACTGTTTATTCAACAAATAATTGTTTACTTGGAGAGATTTTTGGTTGTCATGGAGCGTGGGGAAGAATGTGTTTCTGACAGCAGCTGGTTAGAGGTCAGGAATGCTGCTAAACATCCTACAGTGTGTGCATAGGACAACTCCCCATAAAAAATTGTGTGATCTAAAATGCCAGTAGTGCTGAGGTTGTGAAGTCCTGCTTTGAAATCTGATCATTCCCAAGTATGGGTTGAAAGAAATGGCTTTTCTTAAGAAGTTTTATTTGGTTTAAGAAACTATAAGATGTGTTACATTTTTTCGATTTTAAAAATTAAGTTAACATTTTTGGCATAATAACCTGTGATTCCATAATCTTGAATACAGTTCCAGAAACTTGTGCTTTTTGATTTAAAAATAAGCCTATATTTAAAATAACGTTTGTCTGTTAATCTAGGGGAAATAACCATGTAGTTAAGATTTCAAGCAATGGGAACTCTTTGAGTAAGTGGATTTTGCAGAATAACATGAACTGAAATTTTGTTGTTTTATCTAATCATGATTTCAACTTCGATTCATTCTACAGAGCTTCTTTGTCAACTTGGAAACACAGCCCTTCTCAGGTTCTACCCTTAATAGTAGTTATGAAAAAAACCAAAAACCAAGCTCACTGCCATTGAGTTGATTCCGACCAATAACGACCTCCTTTGGGTTTCTGAGGTGGTAAATCTTTATAGAAGTAGATTGCCTACACTTCCTTCTGGTTAGCAGTCAAATGCCTTAGGCACTGTGCCACCGAGCACCTTAGTAGTCGTTATAGAGCTCCTGAAATGTTTCTGGAGCACTGCCTTTCCATGGGTCCTCCCAAGGAAAATTGAACATCATCTTCCTTTTCTCTTTAGGATCTTAATGTTCTCTTTGCACTACCCCTAAAAAAAAAAAAAAATTATTTTCTGTCAGAAAATGATAAATCAGTTGTCATTGAGTTGATTCTAACTCGTGGTAGCCCCATGTCTCAGCGTAAAATTATTCCATAGGGTTTTTAATGGCTGATTTTGTGGAAGTAGATTGCTAGGCCTTTCTTTCAAGGTGCTTCTGGCTAGACTCAACCTTTTGGTTAGTAGCTGAGTGAATTAACCATTTGTATCACCCAGGGATGCAACAGGATGTGATGCCAATGACTGTTACTAGAGCTTCTATTTTCCCTAAACCCTGCTACTTTAAATGAATTTGTCATGGAATCATGTCTTTGGAAACAATGCCAAGAAGATTTAAAAGTTTCTGCCAATCTGCTTAATGGCAGAAACAACATTGTATCTCTGTCTCTTGGAAGGGATTGGTAGGGGCCTCTGCAAGCTGTTTCATTTGGCATGATAACATTTCTTCTGATGGGGGTGGCCTGCTAGGAGTGTTACTTGATTAGCATTATGTTGCAGAAGTTTTTCTTTACTTGAGCCTCATAAGGGAGAACTGGATCAATGTCTTAAATGTAAATGAGGAGGATTCTGAAAAGGAGCTCTGGTGGCATGGTGCCTAAAGCATTTGACTGCTAACCACAAGGTTGGTAGTTCAAACCCACCAGCCACTCTGTAGACGGAAGATCGGACAGGCTACTTCCATAAAGATTTACCGCCTCGGAAATCCAAAGAGGGCTACTAGTCGGAATCAACTTGATGGCAGTGAGTTTTGTTTTTTTTTAGTTTGGTTTAGGTTTCTAAAACAGGTTAAGGGATCTATTTTAGATTACTATAGAGCTAGGATTGTTGTTGTTATGTGCCATCGAGTTGGACCCAACTCATAGTGACCCCTCCTTGGGTTTCCGAGGCAGTATCACTAAAGAAGTAGATTGCCCCATCTTCCTTCTGAGGAGTTACTGGTGGGTTTGAACCACCAGCCCTCTGATTAGCAGTCCAGTGCCTTAGGCACTATGCTCCCAGAGCTAGGATTAGATGCTAGTAAATGATACTTATTTTAAGAAGTAACTTAAAAGAAATTGCTAATTGCACTTGAATTTCTGTATCAAATTAGTTGTGTAGTAGGGCAGTCTACTTCTATAGTGATACTGCCTCCGAAACTCAAGGAGGGGTCGCTATGAGTCGATCCATTTGACAGCAGTGTGTTGTGTTACGATGTTGCAGACCTTGAGTTTTATGTGGCAGACATTTTGAGTACATAGCTTTTTGTATTTTGTACTCCCAGTAGATCCCGTTTTATTTCCCTTGACCATTTTTCTACAGATATTTGTCAGGACACGAATCAGGTTCTCTTCAAATGCTGCCAGGGGTCTGAGGAGGTACCCTGCAACAAACCAGTTCCTGTAAGCCTCTCTGAGGATCCCTGCTGCCCACTGCATTTCCAGTTGCCTCCTCAGATGTATAAGCCCGAGCAGGTACTGTCTGTGCCAGACGATCTGGAAGCCGGCCCCATGGATCTGTACTTGAGTGCCGCTGAGCTTCAGCCCACTGAGAGTTTACCTCTGGAGTTCAGTGATGTAAGTTAGAGAAGCTCTGCTCTGGTTAGCCCTTGAGCCAAGACCTTATTATTTAATGATGAGAAAAGGTTAGTCTTTGTGGCCAGAATAGCTGATAACAAAGTTTTTGAAATAATGCATGTATGGTTGTATCTGTATGGTAAGTGTATTCATTTTGAGATTATGTAAACCTATACCTTGTTGTCCATGCTCTACCACCCCCACATACCTTTTTTTGTTTTTTGAGATATAATTTACGTACCATGAATTTCATTCTTTTAAAGTATAAAAAACACTTATTTTTTTAAAATATATTCACAATTATGTAACCATCACCACTAATTTTAAGATGTTTTTATCAACACAAAAAAGAAACACAACACAGACAACCCATGAGCAGTCTCTTCCTTTCTTAGTTACCTGTCTAGTGCTGCTGTAACAAAAATACAGGTGGGTCGCTTTAACAAACAAACTTACTTTCTCCCAGAAGTCCCAATTCAGGTGCTGGCTCTGGGGAAGGCTTTCTCTACTTGTCAGCTTTGAGCTTCTGCTCTCAGGTGATCTTTATGTGGCCTGGCATCTCTCTTCCCTCCTGTCTGCTCTGTTTGCTTATTTAATTTTGTTTGAATCTCAAAAGAGATTGGAGACATCTATACTAATTCTGTCTCATTAACATAACAAAGACAACCCATTCCCAAAGGGGATGTAACTACAGGCACAGAGGTTAGGATTTACAGCACATATTTTTTGGGGGACATAATTCAGTCTATAACATTCCCCAATCTCCTTTACTCCAGCCCTTGGCAAGCAGTCTGCTTTGTCTCTCTAGATTTGCTTATTCAGGACATTTCATGTGTAAAAATGACGTGGGGATGATCTCTTAACTTCACTGGGGGTCGGGTGGGGTAGGGATCATTATTAGTAGCCCAAGGCTGATTCCTGTGAGGCAGAGTTCAGACATGCCTCCATCTTCCAACCTTTTTTTTTAAAAAAAACAATTCTGGCATCAGCTCTCTCTACTATGGTACTCTGCTCTTGTGCTGGGTTCTATAATTCCTTGCAATGGCCACACACAACTCAGACCAAACTCAATGCCACTGAGTCGATTCCAACTCATAGCAACCCCTTTTGTGTTTCCAAGGCAGTCAGTCTTTTGGAAGTAGATTGCCCAGTCTTCCTTCTGTGGAGTGGTTGGTGGGTTTTAACTGCCAACCTTCTGGTTAGCAGTCAGATGCCTTAGGCACTATGCCACCGGAGAGCTCCACAACTCAGACAGTACTTATGATTATGGAGTTTATTAGGGAAATAACAGGTTACAATTCAGGATCAGAAATGTCTGTGAATACACTCCTTCAGTCAGGCTAGTTTCTTCTCAGCAGTGCCCAAAGGCAGGTGTCTCTGGCCCTGGCCCCTCGGCCTCTGCCCTATTCAGGCAAATTTTACAAAGCTCTTTCAGCACTGCTGATAAATGTCTAGAGGCACCCACCTCACTGTACTACTAAGCCTCTGTGACAAGTGCTCAGCTTTCCTGCTGTGTCAGTCAGCACACCTCACTCCACCCAGTACTTGGAGACACCCTACTCTGCCAGCAGCTTCCCTCCTGAAGGTACTCTGCTTTCTTACTCTGGGCCTAGATGCCTACTGTACCATCTCCTGCCAGTCTCCTACTTCTGCTGCCATTTTTCTGCCACTGCTTCTCGCCATCTCAACAAGATGTTTGTCTCCTGGATCAAGGAAGTTCTCAGTACAGGAATCCTGGGTCCAGAGGACTCTGCTTCCATCTCTTGTTGGTAGTCAGGTCCCCCCAGGTGCTCTGGAATTGCATCTCTTTATAAACCTAGTGCATGACAGAATGGACCAATCCCCTTGTTAGAGTTCCATGCGCCTTATTTACATGGTCCTGCCCCCACAAGGGTGCCATGCACCTCATTTACATTATTAGTAAGTTATCCAATCCCCTTGGTGAGTCACAAGAACTTCATTCATAGTCTTTACCCAGTCATTTGGTGGGAGTTAGAAAGACTAGTTATAAGGGCCATATTAAGTAATGCACTGAATGTGTAAATGCAGTCTTATAAAACGTGATCTTTGTGTCTGGATGCTTTGACTTAATGTTATCAGGGTCCTTGCATGTTGTAAGATGTACCAGTACTTCATTCCTTTTTATGGCTGAATAATCGTTCATGTTATGGGTGCCACATATAATTTACCCATTCTTAGGTTGATGGACATTTAGTTGTTTATACATTTTGGCAGTTATAAATACAGATATCCCCCACTTTTTGAAAGTTTGCTTTATGCCACTTCAGTTTTTTTTTTTTTTTTTTAAATTGTGATTTGGGTGAAGATTTACAGAGCAAGTTCACTTTCCATACAGCAGTTCACATGTACTTTGTCTCATGTCATTGACCACAGTT